CTAATATGCGACCTATTAGGCGAACCCTGAACCATTGCATGAAAGTACCAAGTATTGTGATATCCCTCACATACCCAACCTTTTGTTTCCTAAACCTTCTTCAATAGATAAAGTCCAATTCAAAACTCCTTGAACATGATGTAGTAAGTCGCGATGTTTTGGTGTAGGGTCTCTATCATATATTGTCATTGTCTCATCAACCCTATGCTCAGCATCCCTTAATCGCTGGAAAACATCATCGAACACATGTTGATTCTACCAATGCAATCCTTGTTTCAGCCAGAAGAACTTCCCCACAAAGCAGCCATCCTCGTAAGATGAGTAGTGAGTGACCACTTCTGAGAGACAAATGCTGAAAGGTCATGATGCTTGGTCCATATGTTGAGGAATATGAAAAGTTTAAGCACCAAATCATCATCAGAAATCTACTGACATAGTCAAGGCAAAAAATAAAGGTAAAGGTCCTGAAGTTCCAAGGACATCCTTGTGCTTGCAATGCTTTAACTATAAGGGTTTCGATCACATTTCCTCTAAATGCCCTAGTTGAGCCCTAGTTATGGATGAACATGAGCGTATAGTGGATGACCTGTTAAAGGATCAAGTTTATGAGCCTAATATTGAAGAGTTTGAGGACTTAGATGATAATGAAAATACCTTCTTAGGTTTTATTCGGACCTTCCACAAAGGGTTAAGACCCCTTATTCCTTACACGTCTTAATTAAATGTTGTATGTTGTACCTTTACTGAACCTAAAAATGCTGATGATTAGCTTCATCATGCCATTTTCCACACGTACATCAAGATCAATAACATTGTAAAGTCATTGTAGATAGTGGTAGTAGCATTAATGCAGTTTCGATGGCTACTATATCCTATCTTAGGTCAATTCTTCACCCTCAGTCGTATAGCGTCTCTTGCGTTGATACTTCTTCTACAGTTGTAAAAGAACATTATCTAGTACCTATCTAGTTCCTTGAGTATAAGGATCATATATGGTGTGATGTCATTTCAATGGATGTGGGTTACGTTATTCTTGGTCGACCTTAGTTGTTCGATTTAGATGTAACCATTTATGGCCGATCCAATTCATGTTCGTTCGTGTTTAATGGCAAGAAGATCCACCTTAACCCTCTTCCACCGAGACCTGTTGGCTCACATGAAACAAAGAAACGTGAGGAACGAAAGGATTTATGGTCGATCCAATTCATGTTCTTTTGTATTTAATGGAAAGAAGATTCACTTTAACCAACTACCTCCAAAATTTGTTAGCTCGATTGAAGCAAAGAAAAGTGATGAACGAAAAGGGATACATATCATTAACCTTACGGAGTTTGAGCACACACTTGTGGGCGATTCTGTTGTATTTGTCGTGGTTGTTATGGAGGTTCCATTGAATTTCCCAATAGTAGCCTTGCTAAAGTCCAGGCAATCATTCAAGAGTTTTGGGATATCTTCCCTAAGGACCTACCTGACTTGCTACCTTCTTTTCGGGATATTCAACATGCCATAGGTTTTGTTCTAGGAGCATCTCTTCAAAATTTGCCTCATTATAGAATGAATCCTATTGAGAATGCTGAACTTTAGAGGCAAGTAGATGAACTCATCCACAAAGGATTCATCCATTAGAATTTATGTCTTTGTACAGTTCCTGCTTTATTAACTCCCAAGAAAGATGGTACTTGGAGGATGTGCATAGATAGTCGTGCCATCAATAGGATTAAAGTGAAGTACCACTTTCCCATTTCTAAGCTTGACGATATGTTAGATATGATTGTTGGTACTACAATATTTTCTAAGATCGATTTGAAGAATGGCTATCACCAGATTAGGATTCTCCCCGGTGAGGAGTGGAAAATCGCTTTTAAAATGAAGGATAGTCTTTATGAGTGGATGGTTATGCCTTTTGGACTAACCAATTCCCCAAGTACTTTTATGAGAGCAATGATATAGACTCTTTGACCTTTTAAGAGTAAGCTCATCATTTTTTAGTTTGTTGGCATTCTCGTCTATAGCAAAACCAAGGAACAACCCTGAGATTATCTCAAACAGGTTTGTTCTGCCCTTCGTGCAACAAAATTGTATACTAACGTCAAAAAATGTTATCTCTTCACCGATAGAGTTAGGATTCATTGTATACTCTACAGGGGTATCTGCTGACCTTGCCAAGATTCAGACAATTGTTGATTAGCCTGAACCTACAACTATACATGACGTCAGGAGTTTTCATAGCCTCGCTACCTTTTATCGTCGTTTCATCATGGGGTTCAGCACAATCAGGGCTCCTATTACGGAGTGCCTGAAGAGATGGAAGTTTCATTAGACAGAAGAAGTGACTAAGGCTTTTAAGCTAGTCAAGAAGCGAATGACGAAAGCTCATGTCATGCACATTCTCGACTTTTCCAAAGTTTTTTAAGTTGAGCGTGATGCCTCCGAGGTAAGAATAGGTGGAGTCCTTAGTCAGGAACTCCCCCTATAGCTTATTTAAGTGAGAAATTAAATGATACCAAACAACGATACTCGACTTATAAGGAATTGATGCAGTTGTATAGGCTTTGCGTTATTGGTGTCATTATTTGTTATCCCAAGAGTTTATTCTTTATTCGAACCATAAGGCTCTCCATCATCTCAACTCTCAGAAAAGGTTAAATTCTAAGCATGATCACTATATTGAATATTTACAGGCCTATTCTTTTGTTTTGAAATATAAAAAGGGTGTTGAGAACCAAGCCCTGATGTATTAATGCGTCTCATCTCTCTTCTGTCGATTATGGACGTTAATGTCATAGGTTTTGAAAGACTTAAGGAAGAGTACAAAACATGTCCCCATTTTAGGGATATCTTTCTTGATTTACAAAGTGGACGGTCGGATACTACGATGATTTTTGCCATGAGGGGGTTATCTTTTTAGAGCCAATAAATTGTACATTCCTCAAACTTTAGTGCGGGACTTCATTGTATTGGAAATTCATGCGGGGAGTTTAGCCAGTCACTTTGGGCTTGATAAGACCATAAAGGAGATTGAACGTCAATTCTATTGGCCTAGTTTGATGAAAGATGTGGCCTAGATAGTAAGCACTTGTAACTCCTGTCAGATGGATCCCTCGAACTTCAATGCGGGACTTCATAGTATGAGAAATTCACGTGGGGGGTTTAGCCGATCACTTTGGGCATGATAAGACCATAGAGGAGATTGAACATCAATTCTATTGGCCTAGTTTGAAGAAGGATGTGGCTAAGATAGTTAGTATATGTAACACCTGTTAGTTGGCCAAACAGAAGAGTCAAAACACTCATTTTCCTGTTCATGATTGTCCATGGCAAGATGTGAGTATGGACTTTGTGCTAGGACATTCACGTACCTCGAAGAAGCATGATTCCATTCTTGTGTTAGTCGACTGTTTCTCGAAATGACTCATTTTATCCCTTGTACCAAAACCCCATATGCGTATAAGATTGCCACGTTGTACTTTGATTAAACTGTCAAATTGTATGGTCTTTCTAAAATTATTGTGTCAGATAGGAATGTTTGTTTCGCTAGTTAGTTTTGGAGAACGTTGTGGCAAAAGGTTGGTACTAAATTGAAAATTTCTACTACCCATCACCCGTAGACTAACGGTTAGATGGAAGTAGTTAGTCATAGTCTTGGTAACTTATTAAGATATCTGGTCCAAGAAAATCTTATAATTGGGATTTGATTCTTCCTACAACACATATAAAGTTTCATGAATCGATCATTAGGTATGAATTCATTTGAAGTTGTTCATGATTTTTAGCCTAAGAAGCCTTTAAATCTCATTCCAATGTCCCCACATGCTAGAGTGTCTATGTCAGCTAAAGTATTTGCACAACATTTTCATGACTTGCATATTGAGATCAATAAATAACTTGAAGCTAGTAATGCATCATATAAAATTCGAGCTAATTTGCATAAAAGACATGTTGAGTTTAATATTGAGGATTATGTTATCATCCGAATTAAACCGGAGCGGCATCTACCTAGATCTGCCTTCGAATTGCAAGCTCATAGTATTGGAATGAGTAAAAAAGAATACTTTTTAACCAACTCTACGATGAAAATTGATACCACCATTTTTAGTAGAACATAACCATGAACATCAAATCTATTAAACACAATCATAATACATGTACCCTAAATGGAGAAGAGGGTCAAAATGGTTAACAATCAATAATAGGCTATCATAATCATTGGATAAGATGGAGAACCCATGAGGCAAACATGAAGAATCTTCTCATGTTATGGTCATTGATGAATGAGTACACATGGTGACTGATTACGTTGATGGTTGATCACTTCACAAACATTTGGTTAATACCATGATAGATGGGATAAAAGACATGGAAAAAAATAATCATCATATAGAATATCCTTCAACATCTCACAAGGAGTGATCGATAGAGAACCATCATCTATTAACGGTCTCACTTTAACCGTGATTCCCATTTAATTTACGGAGATCCTAAGACATGTCCCATGTGATCATAATTGCCCTTTGCAATGTTACCTAGACGAGATCTCTACATATTGGAAGCTCAACAATGTACAAAAAGTAATTTTTACTTCTTACGTCTTCTCATATTAAGCAAGTTCTTACTCATTTCATATTTTCTCCATGCAACACCTTAACTTTCTCTAAAATCGGGAGGGTGATGAGGGAAGAGGTTCCCAATCCCTTCTTTGTGCATGTTAGCTCATCTAGTTGTAACCACTACGAGCGGGTTCACAATCGACCAGCATAAAAGACATCCGTTGAACTTTAACGAGCATAATTTCTACATTTTTTGGTTATTTATATCAACACGTTGACCAACCCCCGGTCAAATTAGTCTACAATATACCAGTGCACGCAGCGAACTAGTCCACAGTTGAACAACTTTCTACTTCCGACGTTAACAAGAAATATCAAAACCAGATTAATATTTATACGTTAGGAAAATCAAAAGGGTAAAGCAGTTCCCAATTGGAAGAAAATTCCATCGAAATGGAAAATTCAACCCAGGAATCCAACCTCCGATCCGAAATCTGCGTCACCTATGATTCTCCCTACCCAATCTACGCCATGGCTGTCTCGAACGCCGCCGCCGCCTCCGCCTCCACCCACATCCGCCGCATAGCCGTCGGAAGCTTTATTGAAGAGTTCAACAACCGGGTTGACATCCTTTCCTTCGATCACGACGCCTTATCCCTCAAACCTACTCCCTCCCTCTCCTTCGACCACCCTTACCCACCTACCAAGCTCATGTTTCATCCCACCCCCGCCACCTCCGCCGCTAACATCCTCGCTTCCTCCGGGGACTATCTCCGCCTCTGGGATCTCCGTGACTCATCGATCGAACCTATATCGGTTTTCAATAATAGTAAAACGAGTGAATTCTGCGCCCCGTTGACCTCTTTCGACTGGAATGAGGTCGAGCCGCGGAGAATCGGCACTTCAAGCATTGACACCACTTGCACTATATGGGACATTGAGAAGGGTGTTGTGGAAACTCAATTGATAGCACACGACAAGGAGGTTTATGACATTGCTTGGGGTGAAGCAGGGGTTTTCGCTTCAGTTTCAGCAGACGGTTCTGTGAGGATTTTTGACTTGAGGGATAAGGAGCATTCCACCATTATATATGAAAGCCCACAGCCCGACACTCCTTTACTGAGATTGGCTTGGAATAAGCAGGATTTAAGGTACATGGCCACGATTTTGATGGACAGCAATAAGATTGTAATATTGGACATTCGGTCTCCTACAATGCCCGTGGCCGAATTGGAGAGGCATCAGGCGAGCGTAAATGCAATAGCATGGGCGCCACAGAGCAGCAGGCACATTTGCTCTGCTGGAGATGACGGGCAGGCACTTCTTTGGGAGTTGCCTACAGTTGCAGGGCCTAATGGGATTGATCCCATATCTATGTACGCAGCTGGTGCTGAGATCAATCAGCTTCAGTGGTCTGAGGTGCAGTCTGACTGGATTTCCATTGCCTTTGCAAACAAGTTGCAGCTGCTTAAAGTTTGAGGTAACTGGGGATTAGTTATATATCATCCGTAGAGTGTGTTGAGATATTGTACCTTTGTCATATGCTATAATCTGTTTTATTTATACTAGCGTACAAGATCTTGGGATAGTTTTATCCACTTTTTATCCACTTATTGAGTTTATATATATAATTATGTTGCTGAATGTACCGGTTCTCTTTGCTCGTTCTAGTATTTTGTACGTGCACTGCTTGTCCATAATATGCAAAGATATCTTCCATACTCATGAGGAAAAAGGGTTTCATAAAAATACAAGAGTATCTTGCTGTTATTGCCTTCGAAGTTTGATGAAATTTATCTCTAACCGTAACATTCTAGTATGAACTATTTCTTCTATACAACAAAGAGAGAGAGAGAGACAGAAGATAAAAGTTTATTAGGCGGCATTTTGATATTGTCCAATCCTGCGTTACTTTTATTTCAGATGGACCATAGTTTTCTAACTTTTGAAGGGTGATTAGATACCCCATATTGAGCAGAATTGTTGGATGCATTATAGTTTCCTACTCAAAAATCAGCATGTGACCATGGTAGATCTTTGTGAGGTTTGAAGAGATGGCAGAGATCAATATACTTGATTCTCAGTGCATTTGTGTGACAACCTGGATCCTTAACGATTCAAGTGTCACTAATATCTAAATTAAACTTAAATAAAAGGGTTAAATGAATAAATAGAATTTTTATAAAAATAATTACGATTCTACATTATTCATAATAAGCATATTTTTAAAGAAAATACATTTGACATAAGAAAATCTCAAAATGAATTCAACATAAATTATATAACATTCGACATAACTTCATGAAAATTATTTTAAATATCGCATTCATGTCTGCATCGACCTTCTCGAACCATTAATTTTTTGAAAAGGGAAAAAAACATCATGTGAGATAAAATCTCAAATAAGTGTGCATGAATAAATTTTGTTCATATATATGCATTTCATGGAAAATTTCATATTTGCATAGGGAGACACGAAAATTGGACATAACTTAGATGGTACCAAATTTCCTTGCGTAGCGCTACTATACTCTAGTCCGTCTTTACAAATATTATACATAATACGAACCATAACTTAACATAGCCATGACATATATAGGATCATTCGCGAAATAACTTAATAACAAACTTACTTTTCACTAGACAATTCAAAATGTAGAAGTAATTGTTGGAGAGAGGTCTTTGAGCTGCGTATGAGGTTGAGTATTCACGTGTGATTGTTTAAGTATATGACTATATTTAACATGAAAAGGACAAGAGAAAGAGTATAAGCAGAGAGATAAAGTAATAGAGCCGGAGAGGAAAGTGTGTAAGTAGTTGGTGATGGGTAATCCTATTTACAGTGAATTCTTGGACCATGTGTATAACAGTGAAAAGAAATGTCTAGATGTTAGGCATGGTCTGATACAGACATCATCTAGATTTATTTTTTATTGCCCATCGAGATTTATTTTTATTGTGGGTTTTATTTATTTATGTTTTCTAATATTGGGTTTGCCGTCGATTTTTATTAGTTATGCTTTTTATTATTGGGTTTTAGTAGTGGGTTGACCCAAGCCCTTCACTGGTAGGTTAGGTTTTTACTATTTATTGGATTTTTCATTGTAGTTGGAACAATTAATGAATTGATAAAATTTCGGTTGGCAGCTACCAATGTTTTCTCCTTTTCCCCTGATTTTTTCTTCTTCTTCCGACTTCTTCCTCTATTTTCTTCTTCTGCTATTCTTATCAGTTGAGTGCAAATATTGTGGTGATTATAATTCTCTGCTGGAACATTTCAATTGATACTACATCAAATTTCGTTTTAAAATTGCATCAATTAAATTGTTGTGCTGCTGTTATTCTAATCTTTACCTACAATTTACGTCTCTAAATCCCTAACCGTGTTATATTCTCACTTTTATCCTACTTATTTTAATTCCTAACCGTGTTATATTCCCAATTTTATCCTACTTATTTTATTTGATTAAGTTACTGATTAGTATTTGACCATTGCTTTATTATTTTATATAGATCAGCGGTATTAGCTTGCTATATTTGGATTTACATAATCCCCTCCCCCTAAAAAAAGGTGTTGATCATGTTGTTTTTTTCAGTTTTAAGAGTTGTTTATTGATATCTCGATACATTTCATTTAGCTATTAGTACATTGTATGCAGTTGCATAGTGGTCATCTTATCATATCTAGTTCTAGTACACTTCATTTAGCTAGTAGTACATTGCAGCAGTTGTGTAGTAGTTGTCTTGTCTATCTAGTTCCAGTACCCTGACCATGGACTCATCCCAATTTGATACCCTCACCCAACAATTAGCACAACTTGCCACTAACCAACAGCGGTTACAAACTTAATTGGCGGCTGTCCAAACTGAGATGGATGCTACTCGTGAAGAGAATAGAGACTTAGTTGCTAGGTTGTCCACTTTTGAGCAAACTCCACATTCGACTGAAGTTGAAAATTCAGAAGCGTCTAGTAATAGGCATTGTCGTTGTCCCCAATGAGGCCAACAACACGTTAGATGTGACTATAGGGATGGACATGAAGTTCGTGAATAGGAGCGAGAACATCATCGCCACAATACTCCGTCTCCTCCTTGCCACGATGAACGTTTTCTTTAGAAACATTAAATTGGATGCCCTAACCTTTGATTGTTGCTTAGACCCTAGGATATTTACTCAATGGGTTAGAGATTTGCTAGTTTGGTATGGGGTCTTGGAAGACTGGAGAGTTCAATTTGCTAGTTTGAAATTAATTGGCACTGCTAAACTCTTTTGGGAAAGTGTTGAGGAGCTCTTTGAAAGACGTCGTGCTCCCCCTTGTTGGTAGTTGGAACTTGGAATGAAATGAAGCGTCGACTTCAAAAGAAGTACTTACCCCAATTATATATGGGTAATTTGTTGGATCAATGGAATGCTCCTACTCAAGGCAATCGACTAGTGACGGAGTACATCACTCAGTTTGATGAATTTCGAATGAAAAGTCAGGTCGTTGAGGATGAAGCCATGACCTTAAGTAGGTTTGGGCAAGGCCTTAGAGATGATCTTAAACCTGAGTTTGTCCTTAGGGGTGTAACTACTCTTGGCCATGCTTATTCTTTTGTCCGAGACTATAAGTTAGTTACTAGGGTTCAGTATAGAAATCGTGGTGACAACCGTACCCCTATCTCTATAGCGCCCACCCTTTCCCCTAAGTCTATCTTATGGCCTCTCCCATCTAAGGTTCCTTTTGTAGGGGAAAGTGAAGGTTAATGTCCTAAATGTTCCAAGGATGTCATCCCGCTTGCAATGCTTTAACTGTAAGAGTTTCAGTCACATTTCCTCTAACTGTCCTAGTAGAGCCCTAGTTATGGAGGAACGTAAGGGTATGGTGGATGACCCGTTGGAGAATCAAGTTTATGAACCTAAGTTTGAAGAGTTTGAGGACTTGGATGATGATGAAGATACCTTCTTAGATTGTATTCGGACCCTCCCCGTGGTTCTAGGGTTGGAACTTTTTATTCTCGACACGTTTAGATTAAGTATTGTACGTTGTACCCTAACTCATCCCAAAAATGTTGACGATTGGCGTCGTTATGCCATTTTTCACACTTACATCAAGATCAATAATAAGGGTTGTAAAGTCATTGTGGATAGTGGTAGTTGCATTAATGCAGTTTCGATGACTACTGTATCCCGTCTTGAGTTGAAACCAGTTCCCTACCCTCAGATATATAGTGTCTCTTAGGTTGATACTTCCTCGATAGCTGTAAAAGAACGTTATCTAGTACCTATTTAGTTTCTTGAGTATAAGGATCATATATGGGGTGACGTCATTTCAATGGATGTCGGTCACGTCATTCTTGGTCGATCTTAGTTGTTCGATGTAGATGTAACAATTTATGGTCGATCCAATTCATGTTCTTTTGTGTTTAATGATAATGAAAAGAAGATTCATCTTAACCAACTGCCCCTAAAACCTATTGGCTTGCATAAAGCAAAGAAAAGTGAGGAACGAAAAGGGTTACATATCATTAACCCTACGACATTCGAATGCACACTTGCGGGCAATTCGGTTGTGTTTGCCTTGGTTGTCATGAAGGTTCCATTGAACTCCCCAATAGTAGCCCCTCCTGAAGCTCAGACGATCTTTCAAGAGTTTAGGCTGTCTTCTCTGAAGATCTACCTGAACAGGTACCTCATTTATGAGACATCCAACATGCCATAGATTTGGTTTCAGGAGCGTCGCTTTCAAATTTGTCTCATTATAGGATGAATCTTACTGAGCACGCTGAACTTCAGAAGTAAGTGGATGACCTCCTTCACAAAGGCTTCATCCGTAAGAGTTTAAGTCCTTGCGTAGTTCCTGCGCTATTGACGCCTAAAAAAGATGACTTTTGGAGAATGTGCATAGATAGTCGTGCCATCAATTGGATCACGGTAAAGTATCGCTTTCCCATTCCTTGGTTTGAGAATATGTTAGATATAATGGTTGGTGTTACAATCTTTTCTAAAATCGATTTGAAGAGTGGCATCCCTAGATTAGGATTCGCCCTAGTGACGAGTGGAAAAACGCTTTTAGAACGAAAGATCTTTATGAGTGGCTGGTTATGCCTTTTGGACTAACCAACGCCCCAGTACTTTTATGCGAGCAATGATACAGACTCTTCGACCTTTTATGGGTAAGTTCCTTGTCGTCTACTTTGATGACATTCTCGTCTATAGTAAAACTAAGGAACAATACCGGGATCATCTCGAGCAGGTTTGTTCTACCCTTCGTGCAACAAAATTGCATGCTAACGTTAAGAAGTGTTCTATCTTCACCGATAGAGTTGTCTTCCTAGTATTCATTGTATCCTCTAAGGGGGTATCTGCTGACCTTGCTAAGATTCAGACAATTGTTGATTGGCCTGAGCCTAAGACTATACATGACGTCAGGAGTTTTCATGGCCTAGCTAGATTCTACTATCGCTTCATCAGGGGTTTAGCACAATCATGGCTCCTA